TTGACATGATATTTTTAAAAAAGGTGGGCCTAAGCTGAAGCACTAGAACTGAACCCCCTAATCTTTGGGAGAGCTCAGAGATCTGGGCTTTGTGGCTCAGTCTTTTTGGTAATGAGTCAAACCGAAACCTCTGATGCACATATTCTCCAAAACTGTAGGTTTTGTTCTGAATATACTGGCTTGACTCCATTTCTAATCAAGAATATTTCAAAGCTGTGGGGGTTTTTAACTTGGAAATCCAGATGCAAACACTATGTCAATCTAAAATACCAGCACCACCACCAGTTAGTTCCATGTGAGTTGTCCTGCTCCCATGCTGCTTTAGTGCAAAAACCACCAAAACAGAACTAAAAAAAAGGAAATCTCATAAGAGTGCTGAGATCAGGAACACAGCAGTCTCACAATGCAGAATAACATTTGTAAACACAAGAGTGTTTGAGACTCAGCCAACCAAGAGCTGACTGAATAGTAAGGATACAAATTGGTATATGACTTTAAAGTCAGATCTGGAGTCAGTAACAAAAAATTGTGACAACTAGATCTTATATAGATATATTGGCCCTGATCTTCACATATGGCTGAATGTGATCAGCCAGGACTCAGAGTAGGGGGCAAAGGTAGCTTTAGGCAACTTTTGTGCTCCTCTGATCCTTGTGCCAGCCAGGTGCTAGTTCTACCCCCAGTGCAACTTAGAAAAGCTTGGAGGCTGCTCTAAATTGTGGCCAGCTGCAATAACTTTCAACAGGCAGTTGTGGCAAAGAGGCAAGGCCAGCTATTTGTAGCCATACGGTCCTCTGGCCCGACCCCAACATACTACTCATGCTGAGAACTGTGAGGATGCTTGGCATTGGACTGCCTCTATTTTCTCTCATGTTGGGAAATCTTCAGCTGGCTGTTTAAGATAGCATTAGAAGACCTTTCTGCCTTAGGCTGGAGCAGAGCAGATGTTCTGGCCCACTGATACTACTTATGACAATTGCTTATTTCACTTTTCATGCTACTTCCTTCACAACAGGCTTGGGATTTCTTCTAGGAGGAAATCAGTCTATTTGCAGTAATGTGATCATATTGTCTGTACACCTGTGACTGCGTCCTCATTAAGTTTTTCTAAAAGATATGTTCTAGGAATTACATTGGGGGATTCCTGTGGCCTGTGTTATACAGGAAATCAGACTGGATGATCATAATAGTCTCTTCTGCCCTTGGAATCTATAAATCTCATTAAACATGCTAAACAGTCAAAGCACTAAAGAACTAAATCTTTCAGTCCTTGGTAGTTTCCTTCCTTATCCTGGCTAATTCTGTACTACTGAATTTCAGACAGATATCACCCACACTATATGCAAAGGCTGCTCCTCTTTTGACTAATAGTGTCTCAACTGCCTCACAATGACATATGGACTAACTTGCTGACTGAAGGCTAGTCTCCTTTATAGAGCTTATGGAAGGAATTTACCTCAGAGCCTCAAAATTAGACACAGTGCATATATAAAATTTCCACTTTAGGGAACCAAAGAAAGATCTAAGTATGAAAACAAATTCTGCTCTCTGTCGCACCCTGTGCAATCTCCTGAGAATCTGTTTCTGTGTGCAATCTCCTGAGAATCTGTTTCTGTGGATCTTACTTTAGCCTTATTCTGCTTGGGAGCATGCCTAACCATGTGATTCTTTCTGACTGACATGTATACAGTATCTCATATTTACAGAGAACCAATTTAGATAATTCCTCGTGCAGAAGAGGTAACATTCCAGGACACTTGCTAATCACAAAATGTTAAACAATTTTACAAGTACTAATAATATTACTACAGAGCCTAGGATATTGCAACAGTGGCTTCTGATTTTCTATATTCCTCTACTTTGCATCCAAGATTGGCATCTGAGTATCAACATTTTTTCCCACATTCACATCAACATTCCTTAGTTTATCTTTCACGTGAGAACCTTACCTGCATCCTTTATGTCTGCTCTTTTGTATTGTCCGATGAGATTCTTTATTGATTTTTTTCTCTCCTACATCACAAATACTAATCATGCTCTGTAGTTATTGAACAGATGCTATTACTGATTTGTTTTCACCATAGCATTTATGTTCCTAAATACAGGAATTTCTGATTGTTTGGCCTAGCCTCTTGTAAAACATTTCTCTCTCTCTCTCTAACACACACACACAGAGAGCTAAACTGGTATTATGGCTTAATGTATACTCCTTTAAATATTATTTTTATAATAGTCATTTAAGAGTTGCCATGGACACTCTGGTAGGCTAGGATTGTGCCAAATTGTTAATCAAATAGGATGAAAATGGATCTTTCGGGTCTACCCTGCAGGTACCCTAGACTTTCATAAATGGCACATTGACGGTTGAAAAGGGACTATCCTTTGCTTTTTCAGGGAAATTCTGTGACCCTTCGAGCTTTACCGAATCTCCTTCTTTTCAATACACAGTGTAAATTTCCTCCTCCATGTTATTAGCAAGATGATAGCTTGCAACAACATAAACCAACATGCTCCCACGGTTCTTTCTAGAGTTCCTTATATTCCACACCCACTCAATATTTCTTCTTTATGTCCATTCCACCAATATAAAACTTTACAGAAGACTACATTTTCTGCTGGTGCAAACTGAGAAACACCACTGAAGGTTCACCCATTTATCCCAGCAGATGATTTGGTCTAAGAATGAATACATTAATACTGGATTACTCTGGATAAATTATGAACAGATTTTTATGATTACCTTAGACTGCCACTCCTCCTTTGTTTGTAGGAGCATTCGTATGTTGGACAGTATAACAGAGTACACGGTGAAACCTTCCATTTTATAAATTTTGCTAAATGGCTTTGGAGCAATTTACAAATTAATCTATGGGCCCCATCCTGCATCGTTGTTCATCCAAGTTGTTCCAGCCAGTGAAGTCAATGCACTTACTCATGAGACTAAGGTTGCAGGAGTGAGTTCTAATCTTAAATTGGCTATTGATTGGTTATGATCAAACAGGAATTCTCACCTTTTCATGACTAATTATATTTGCATTGTATACTGTTTACAAAGACTCTTCATGCCCATAACACACTGTGATATGGAAGAGGACTATAGGTAGTAAAAGTTGTCACAGTCATTCTCTAATTCCCTCTTCAAGGACTATACCACTAAATACAATAGAAAGCTCCATCACATTTAACTTGATCCAATTGCTTATCCATATCTAGGTCACTTGCCCAGGATTTCAGATGCATTTAGAGGACTATTATTTATTGCATCCTTTTCAGGGAACAGATACCTTGGGGAAATGGGTGGACAGCTGGCAAATATATTCTGAGGCTGCCCTACAGCAGTAAAAATGCAGTTCTCCAATCAGATTGTTTCCCACTTCATTTCACATCATCATGCGTTCCAAGACTTCTCATACTGTGTGCCCTTTAAGGGCATTAGGATGTCTGCTACAGCAGAGCAGCTGAACCCAGACTTATTGCTTGCATTAGTTCCCATCAATGTGTGTATTCAATGATTGATTTATCTTCATTCGATTCTTTATCACTTTCCAGGTGTTCATCTTTTGACTCTGGCTTTTATACAGTGTAAAATTCTTGTCCTACAATTTGGATATTGCTCAGACAGTCTCATAAACTTGCCTCCACACTCAAAAGTAGCAAGTAACATGCTTACACACTGAGAAGAGAAACTCTTGAGCTTCTGGCTTGGTGTGTTTTTAATCTTGATCGTCCTCTTTGCAGTTTGCACCTCGGCGGAGACTGGCAAGGGGCCGCAGCAAATACACAGCGCGCTACGCGGGCGAGCTCAGGAGGGCTGGAGTTATGACCACAGTCAGTGCGGGCACCAGCGGGGGGTGTTAGTCTGGATCTGGGAAAGCGGCAAAGAGTCCCGTGGCCCCTTACAGACCAACAGCCGTACTGGAGCGTGAGCTTCGCTGGGCGAACGCCCCCTGCGCCGGCTGCAGGTGAGTAGGGGGGCGGCTCTCCACCTGCTCGCCGCGCTGCCTCCCGGGGGCAGGGACTCGGCCCCGCTGCACCGGGGGGGGCAGGGACTCGGCCCCGCTGCACCGGGGAGGGGGAAAGGGGGCAGGGACTCGGCCCCGCTGCACCTGGGGGGGGAAGGGGGGCAGGGACTCGGTCCCGCTGCACCGGGGAGGGGGAAAGGGGGAGCAGGGACTCGGCCCCGCTGCACCGGGGGGGAAGGGGGGGCAGGGACTCGGCCCCGCTGCACCGGGAGGGGGAGGATGGGGGGGCAGGGACTCGGCCCCGCTGCACCTGGGGGGGGGAAGGGGGGGGCAGGGACTCGGCCCCGCTGCACCTGGGGGGCAGGGACTCGGTCCCGCTGCACCGGGGGGAAAGGGGGGGCAGGGACTCGGCCCCGCTGCACCGGGAGGGGGAGGATGGGGGGGGCAGGGACTCGGCCCCGCTGCACCTGGGGGGGGAAGGGGGGCAGGGACTCGGCCCCGCTGCACCGGGGGGGGGATGGGGGGGGGCAGGGACTCGGCCCCGCTGCACCTGGGGGGGGAGGATGGGGGGGCAGGGACTCGGCCCCGCTGCACCGGGGAGGGGGAAAGGGGGAGCAGGGACTCGGCCCCGCTGCACCGGGGAGGGGGAAAGGGGGAGCAGGGACTCGGCCCCGCTGCACCGGGGGGGGGAGGAAGGGGGGGCAGGGACTCGGCCCCGCTGCACCTGGGGGGGGAGGGGGGGGGCAGGGACTCGGCCCCGCTGCACCTGGGGGGGGGGAGGGGGGGAGGGACTCGGCCCCGCTGCACCGGGGGGGGGGAGGGCGGCAGACGGACAAACGGCCACAGAGCGGGGACAACGGACCCCACCGCCCTGCCCGCTGCGGGGGGGGTCCTGTTCACCCCCCCGCGGCCACCCCCGGGTCCACACAGCGCCGGCCTGGCCGCGGGGGGGCGGGGTGCCGGGGCCCCGCGGGCAGGGCGCTGAGGGGACGGCCGGGCCCCCCGCCCTCGCCCCCCCCCCCGGCGCCTGCGCGCCGCTGCTTGTTGTGGGGCCGGCCCGTCTCCGGCGCGAACATGGCGGCCGGGCAGGGAGGCGGCGGCGGCGGCGGGCTCGGGCTCCCCGCTCACCTCACCCTGTCCTACCCCGCCGGGCCGGCCTGGGGCGCCGCCCCGCTGCCCCAGCCCCACACGGGGCGCAGCCTGGACCGGGCCCTGGAGGAGGCGGCGGGCTCCGGCATCCTCTGCCTCAGCGGCAGGAAGCTCCGCGACTTCCCCGGCGGCGGCTACGACCTGAGCGACACCACGCAAGCAGGTGGGGGCCGGCGGGCGCCCTGGGGAGATGCCCGGGGGGAGGGCGTGCGGGGGGGGCCCGGGGAGGGTATGTCCGCGGGGGGGGGAGGGTAGGGGGGGGGGGGGGAGGAGGAGGAGGGAGGAGATGGGCGGGGGGGCATAGGAAGGGTATGTCCGAGGGGGGGGGAGGGGGTGTGGGCGTGTAGGGAGGAGATGGGCTGGGGGGGCACAGGAAGGGTATGTCCGTGGGGGGGGTTGGGGGAGGAGGAGGAGGAGGAGGGAGATGGGCGGGGGGCGCACAGGGAGGGTATGTCCGTGGGGGGGGAGGAGGAGGAGGAGGGGGAGGGGGGGGAGATGGGCTGGGGGGGCACAGGAAGGGTATGTCCATGGGGGGGGAGGAGGAGGAGGAGGGAGGGTTGGGTGTGTAGGGGGGAGATGGGCTGGGGGGGTATAGGAAGGGTATGTCCGTGGGGGGGGGAGGGAGGAGGAGGGGGGAAATGGGCTGGGGGGGTATAGGAAGGGTATGTCCGTGGGGGGGAGGGGGATTGGGTGTATAGGGGGGAGAAGGCAGTTGCTTATTTTGCTGTCTCAATCAGCTCTGAGTGTTGTGGCTCATTTGTCCCGTTTTGGGGGCTCTGGCCCCATCAGAGTGTCACTTCCCTCATGATGCAGCATTGTTGCTTGGGATTTTCCAGTGCGCCCCTTTCCCCTTACGAGTAAGGGGTAAGGAGGGGGCATGGTGTGCACACCTCGCAGCCTGCCTGTAACTACAAACACAGTGTGCAGATCAGGACTGAACGTATTCACCATGTTACTAAATACAGAGGTGGAAAACTAGACCACTGAATTTATCTAGACTCTCTACAAATGTGAGGTGAATTGGAGGTATTTGCTTCTGTATAGTCTCTAGAAAACCTGGTTTATATTTGTAAGATATAGAGGTTGTATTGTGTATTTTTACATTGCTAATTTTGAATTTATTTGCTACTGGACTAGTCACTGATCATGAGTAAGAGGGGAAAATGAAATATATGAACTGAGGTCTGATGTGTTTTGTTCAAAAATAGTAAGGGTTTTCAACATATATTAGTAGGAAACTGAAAGTGATATTTGTTTTTTCATGGGGTTGTGGGTAATTGGCTTATCATTTTGAAAGAGAGAGTCTGCCCATTGTAGTGCTTTCATCCATCTGTGACAATTCTGTGCTCCCATGGTTCATCAAATACTTATTCTTCATTAGTCTTTGTTGGGGACTGCATTTTGTGTGTTGGGTTATAGGCAATCTTGTTCAATAAGATCACTTTTTTTTTTTTTTTTTTAATGATTTGTGAAGGCCCGATAAGAAACTGGGTATTTGGCGTATCCAGCAGTATGTCTGTTAATGGTTTTATTCTCTGGCACATGTGGTATATTTGCATGTGCTATGCAGAATGTGGATAGGCAAGAGTGCTTTAATTATCTTACAGTGGATGCACAAGATTAATTTAAAAATGGGTTATGGAGTGGTAGCTCTACATTTTTCTGTAAAATAGGGTATAAAATGTGCTCGTCAACACTAAGCAGCTCTATGTGTGCATACTCAACAATGAAAATATAAATGAGGAAATGGATATAGTGAATCTTAATAAAAGCTTTCTTCTATCTTGCATTCTGTTAATCATGGGTCCATACATTTAATGGGTATACATTGATCATAAGATACCACTGAAACTGTTTTGAATGTACACAGTAATTAAAATACAGAGTCAACACAATTTTGTGTAAATTAATAGCCATCTGACTCTTTTGTCAGAATGCCAGTCTGACCTGAGTGATATATATTAGTGTGGTGCCTAGAGTCCCTAATCGGAATTGAGGCTTCATCATGTAAGATATTGTGCAAACACATACAAAGAGGTCCCTGCCACAAAGAGCTGTATGTGCTTTTATGTCATCAAGAAATTTGTTCACATAATTTGTAATATTGGCAAATGGCACCTTGATTCTTCTGCTGTTTGTATACAGTGGAACTGGTTTAATGTAGGACCTACTAAAGAATGAATCCCCAAACCATATAGGTTGTACTTCTACTCCTATACAGATATTTCTAAAACAGAAATGTTTTATTTGTAAACAAGAACTTTGTAGTTTTGTTTTGATCTGTGGAGTTATCTAATCTGTTTCTTTTGACTGATGAGTGAATTTTTAGTATTCTGCGAGTGCATCAAAAGTTGTTACCTACAGATTTTCTCTAAAGACGCATTGGATTCTTGGATCAGATTTGCATTATTGTTACACTATTTGCATTTATTTACAGGCACTTCCATGGCACTTAACACTATTAATAAATTAGCTTCACATCACAACACGCCTGTGAAGCAGGGAAGCATTGATCCCCATCTTGTACGTATGTAATTTGAGGCAGAATGGTTCTGGTTAAGATTGCTCGCTGTTTTGTTGCCTCAGTTCTTAGTTGTTCGTCCTGAGACATTCTTCCAGAAGTGCTCGGCACCCAGAGGTCCTGTCAAAGTCAATGATAGTTGCCTGTGCTCGGCACTTTGAAAATCAGGCCCAAAGTGTTTCAAGATGGGCAAGCAAAATAAATGCTGATTTTGAAAATTTGGCTGTAAGTGACCGACTTGCACAACGTTTGTGGTGGAGCTGAAAACAGGACCCTAACTACTACTATAGCTTCAGGGTTCTGTGCCTCAACCACAACAGCATCCTTCCTCCCTAGAGACCAATGTCTGTTTACTGAGTTGGAAGTACTTCTGGTTCACATTTCATAAAATGTCTGTTGAATTAAGTGTAAATCAATCGTGACACCCAGTTGCTCATTTAAACTTGAACTGAATTGTCCTCTCCAGAAAGGGGATGTGGGTGTGGGAGTGTGTTTCCCAGTTTTAACACTTCCCTTCCTCCAGTTTATTTGTGTGGTCTCCTGCATATGCTGAAATTTTAAATGCCTTACTAAACCATGAGTTGCAAATGTCGTAGCAAAGGCCTGTGGCATCTTATCGCATCTCATTATATTATGTGGCAAAACTTATTTCCTGCAATAATCTTGCAGCAACAGTAATCTGGCCCTTTAACTTTGATTATGCAGCTGTCAAATCCTTTAAACTAGAGAATCTATGTAAATTGGAGAATATCCAATAGGAAATGCTCTGAGACCAAACTAACTACAGTCTTGAGGCCCACATCCTCTCATTGTGTGGGCACTGTTAAGTCTGATGGGAATTAAGCATATAGATCTGTTACATCACTGAAGTCTTGATTTGGCCAAGAAATGAGGTTTTTTTAATCTACTATCAGACTGAGACACAGGCAGTGTGTCTTATGGTTTTTTACTTTTGTGATCTTAGTCATTTAAAAAAATCATGTGAATTTAATGTCTGTGAAAGGTGCTATGTTGACAGCCCTCGAGACGAACACTCTCTATACACAGAACAGGAACCACGTGGTAAGCAGATATGCAAGCATCCTGACATTGCCCCACCAAACTTCAGCCCTAATTTATTTTTTCTTCAAATATTAAAAATATGCCTATAAGCACCTGTCCAGTGCTATGGATGCCCATCCTGTAGACCAAGGACTATCCACAAGTTTATTCACCTCAACTGCTACCCTCCTCCACAGCCTTAACAAAGAGAAAGGTAAATGATGGGCTTTGTAGTGTGCCTGCCTGAAAAGTGTGTCTGATCTGGAGGGTTGTCATAAGATATACTGGGGAGGCTGAAACATCCTGTCTTGTGATTCCTCGATATGTCTCCTGAGACTGTCAACAAGCATACCAATTTTGAAGGGTGTATCATTGTCTGGTGCTCCTGACATTATTTGACCCAGTTTTTTTCATGTTTATCTGGCCCCTTTTAGATGGATCAATTGACATTCTCTCTCATAATACAGATAGGTTTACACCCAAAGAGAGTTGTTGTGGGGATGTTAGTTTGATGATTTATGTCATAGTCATTTAACCAAATTGTACCTTCTTGAATGAAATGGAAGTGTGGTGGTTTTTTTTTTTTTTTGTTTTTTTTTAATGGTACTGAAATTGATAAGAATGCTGGCAAGTAACTGACTGGCTGTCAGATACTAAGAACTCAAAGAATCTGTTATTTTAGAACCAGAAACTATTCTGTAATTTGTTGAGTCTAGATTTTATTGTAGAAATTGAGTGAGGTGCATCTGAAGTAGAGAATATGTGATTGCAAACTGAAGAACATCCGTGTCTTCAGTAAGAATCTGCAGATCATAATACATGTAAATTAACCTTACAGAAGCTGAAGCATATTATGTTGGTACATTTCTTGCTCATGAAAGGTGCTGGACTAAAAGTTCTGAAAAAAGTAGAATAGTTACAGAATAAACAGGAATGGAAGCTTCTCTGCAATGCCTGACTGTCAGTGTGTGTCCTACCCCTATTTTGGGGACTACTCTAAGGTAATTAGTTACTCATTCATTCTATCCAGTCAATCCTGGGTTTATCATCTAAAAGATGGCCACTGAGGTTGCCAATTGCAATGCTTCTTGGAGTGATACGGACCTCCGTCCTTTAGGAATTGGACTGAAACCTTCAGCTAGCCTTCTCTCAGATGTAGTCTGTTTATACCAGTGACCTACAGACAAAAGATTGAGTTGTGATCTATTCCTTTTACCTAACTTAAAATTTATATTTCCTTGACTCACCCTGCCAAATGGACTATCAGTTGTTTAGAACAGCATTCCAAGATGGCATTTTATTAGTAGGCTTTAAAAAGCTCATTTTACAGAATTCCCCAAATTTCCTCAGTTAAATGTTATAAATGTACCCTATTGGAAACGTGAAACAAATTTCAGTGTTTTGTATGCATTCATTTCCTATTATCCTAGAACAGAATCTCTTTAAGTCATATTTTCAGAATTAATGCATGTGTAGATAACTTAAAATCTATACTAAAAACTTCTTTAGCAGTAACTTGCAGGAAGGAATAAAGGAATTGCTATCCTGATTCAGACTCTAGAGATAGTCCAGTATCCTGTCAGTGGCGATCAACAGCTGCT